ATCGACACAGGTAGTCAAGTTAGCATTATTCGCAGGTCAGTTGCTCATCAAATTGATGGACACCGTCACCAGTGTACTATGAAAATAAAAGGAATATGCGGAGGATCATGTTTGCTTAAGGAAATGATCATTACGGACGTGGACGTCGATGGAAAAATCATCAAGGCAAAATTATATGTAACGGACGACGATATGTTGCAGGAAGATCTTCTATTAGGACAGGATGTCATTATCAGTTCACAACTCATTCTAGGTGTTGAGCATGGCAGCAGCGAAATTAAGCGAACAGTCTCGAAGCCGACAAGAATTGTAAGTGACAGCATAACCGAAAAACTTTTGGCTAATTTTCAGAACACAAACGAGCGAGACAAAATGAGAAATCTGCTGGAGGAGTACGCCGAAGTCTTTTCGTCAGGATTGCAAGGAATAGGAAAAACGAGCATAGTTCAAGCCAATATCATCGTTAATAGCAGTCAAGGTGTATCTCAAGCCCCGTACAGAGTTTCCGAGCCGAAGAAGGAGATTGTCAACAAGATGGTCAACGAGCTTTTGGAGAAGGATATTATTTGTTTATCAAATTCCGAATATGCCAGCCCGGTAGTACTTATCAAGAAGCCAAACGGTAGTGATCGTATGTGCGTCGATTACCGCCGCCTTAATAAGCTCATTCAGAAGGAAAATTTCCCAGTACCTAATATCGAAGAGCGTTTACAAGAGGCAAAAAGATTTAAATACTTTTCTTCCCTAGATCTCAATAGCGGATATTACCAGATTGAAGTTGCACCCCAAAGCCGAAAGTACACAGCATTTATAACTACAGATGGATTATACGAATTTAAGCGACTCCCTTTCGGATTGAAGAACGCCCCAGCTGTATTCAATCGACTCATGGCAGAACTGCAGAAGAGAGTGAAACGCGGCGACATGATACACTACATGGACGACATTCTTATTGGTAGCCAAACATTTGACGAGATGTATGAGAAGCTGAACCGAGTCCTCAATGTTTTGAAAGAATGTGGATTAACGCTAAACCAAGATAAGTGTGAATTGTTTAAGCAGTCGATAACATTTCTTGGTCACCAGATTCATGCAGAAGGCATCAGCCCAGGAGAGATTAAGACAAACGCCATTAAAATGTTTCCGAAAACCGCAAATGTTACCGATGTGAGAAAGTTTTTAGGTCTTACCGGTTATTTTCGTAAATTTGTTGCTGGATATGCCATAACATCTGAACCATTGCGTATGCTATTGCGAAAAGAACAGAAATTCTCGTGGGAAACACCGCAGCAAGAAGCTTTTGACGAACTAAAGAGATGCCTAATATCAAATCCAGTTATAACCAGTTATCGTTTAAATGCCGAGCATGAACTACACACAGATGCTAGTTCCATTGGATTGGCCGGAGTATTGTTGCTTTACTTCTAAAGCGGAGAAGAACTACCACAGTTACGAGTTAGAGGCGCTAGCAGTTTTCGAGTCGTTGGAGAGATTCAAATACTATATCTATGGCAAACAGATACAAGTTGTTACTGATTGTAATGCACTAAAAACATCGATGGAAAAACGAGAGCTGATACCCAGGATTGCAAGATGGTGGTTGCGAATTCAAGAATTTGACTTAAATATTGTTCACCGAGCCGGAACACAAATGTACCACGTAGACGCACTAAGTCGAGCTCCATTCGAGGATGCTCGCGAAATGGACACGGCATGCCTTAAGATTTTAAAAACTATTATTGACGAATCTGATTGGTTATTTTCTATACAATTGCAGGACGAGAAAATTCAGAAAATTGTTGCAGAGATGAAATTGAAGAAAACGACGGAGACAGAGGAGTACGTTATCGAGCAAGATCGTTTGTTTCGAAAGTATAACAACAAATTGTTATGGGTCGTACCGAAGCAGTTAAGGTTCCATATTCTACATGAATGTCATGATAAGGCCGGTCACATGAGCACAGACAAAACTATTGCTCGCATTCAAAATTGGTTTTGGTTTCCCCGAATGCGCAACTTTGTTAAGAGTTACCTCAAGTCATGTGTTGGATGCGCAATATATAAAGTACCAGGTGGACGTCAAGAAGGTCAGTACCATTACGATGACATCAATCCAATCCCGTTTTCTACCATCCACATGGATCATTTTGGACCCTTTCCAAAAAGTTCCAGACGAAATGAGCACATTTTAGTAATTGTCGATGCTTTCACCAAGTTTACTATTATTCGAGCAGTTAAGAGTACAGCAACCAAACACGTCATTGATATTCTACAAGATGTAACCAGCTACTTAGGAATGCCCAGCAGAATCATCACCGATCGTGGCACAGCATTTACTTCCAAAGATTTCGAAAAATACTGCAAGGCAAATAATGTAAAGCACATTCTCAATGCGGTAAGGACGCCTAGAGCAAATGGACATGCAGAGCGAAAAAATCGGGTTATTCTTTCAATGTTATTGCCCTTAAATGAAAAAGAAAAACGTTGGGATGAAAACATGCGTACAATCCAGTGGAGTATTAACACGATGATAAACAGCACTACTAAATGTTCCCCATTTCAGCTTTTGTATGGTTACGAGCCCCGAGACATTCTGAAGAACACATTGACAAATGCAATTCAAGGCCAGAACCAGAAGATGTTAACGGATGCAGAATTGGAAAAGCTAAGAGCAGATGCAGCGAATACAATCAACGACCATCGAGCGGCTGCTAAGAAACGATACGATGCCAGACATTCTAAGCCAACAATGTATAGCCCTGGAGACCTTGTTTTGGTCGAGAATGAACCGTTTAGCACGGGCACATCACGCAAGTTGGAGCCTCGTTATAAAGGTCCGTTTATTGTCAGTAAGGTACTGCCAAACGACAGATATCTGGTGGAAGATATCCCACATGCCCAGAGGAAGCAGAGACACTACAAGTCGGTATACTCGTCCGACAAAATGAAGCGCTGGTGCCAACTCCCTCCCGATGACCCAGGTGAAGATGACGATTTTGAAGACGACCCAGGACCACATCCCGAATCTTGCGAGGACGCGGCGATTTGTCAAGAAGGGCCGACTGTGAACAGCTATTCATATTGAACCGTTTCACAACACATTTTTGTAGCATTTAAGAACACTGTTTTTATGTATAAGATAAGTCGAGAAGTCATAGGAGAACAAGCAGAAGAACGAGAAGCTAAGGAAGCACAGAAAGACGCATAAGCAAAATGTATTTTATTTTATCCACCTCAATTATTATTAAATAAACGCACCACTCGGAAAAGCATAAAAACCATCCTCTTCACAATATGGATTGGATCGTTACAGCAGTACAATATTTTAAGGAGAGGGTTCAATGAACATCGTAACGTTGCATTTGTGAAGCTCAACAATATAATAAAACCGATTTCACCGCTTAATTTAATGTGTATATGAGAATATGTCAACTATAGTTACAATCTACAATGCGTATGAAATCTTTAAGTACCTAAATTTGATTTATTTTATTACGGTAAAAAAAAGAATTACGAGTTGTGAAAGAAACATATCGAGATGTTTTTGCCAGACGTGTGGATTTATTGATAACCTTTGTATGTATTTATATTATTTCTTTGTTAATCAAAATCGAATAAAGTCCTAACCTTGGGGTCTCTGCGGTTAATATGTGTGGCGGCACACTCATCACCTCTCGTATGTATTTAAGATAACAAAAACATTTTTTATTATAGGTATTTTTAAACTTCTCCCACCAGGGGTATACTCGTATACGTCTCATTAAATATTTTAAAGCTGCAGCACATAAGCAGTTCCATTTTATCCGCTCAGTAGACGATTGCATCGATATCCGCGATTTTAAAAAGCTGTTTCTGCATATGCACTCGATGCATGAGGTGGCTCATCTGCTTCTTGGACACCGAGTCTGTCAGCGTGAGTGCACACACGCACTCCCGTGTGTCCACTTCCGGATGGGTATGCGAGGGCCATTTATGACTTTTCATCGGGGCAGTGTGGACTGCAGGATTTGGTGCGAGAGGCGGAAGGGGGAAAGAGGACGCGGGGACACGTCAGCGACGAGGCAATTCAAATGAATTTTTGCGCTCGCTCCACAACGTTTTTAATTGAAAAACATTTTCGTTTTGGTTTCGGTTTTGGTTTTTGTCTGGCCCAGAAAAACGCGCCATCCCCTTGCTGGCCATAAGCCTCTTTCGAGGAGGCTCCGTCCCCAGCCTCTTTCGGCCAGTTTCCTTCTGCCGGCTGGTGGCAAACAATTCCACCGCAAGACCGTGCCGACTATGGCCGTGCGACGGACTGTGCGCACGCGTTCGTGCATAAATTCTACCAAGTGTCCATTTTTCTGATTTGTGTGCAAAGTTTTTTTCTTGTTGTTTGCCCGCCGCCGCTCAGCGTTGACTGACTGCCCAGGACGAGAACAAGGATAAGCATGCAGATGGTGTGGTATTGGAGTCTCTAAGGGGGATGTTTGGGCGATTGGTAAGCGTTAGCTGGTGTCTTGTTGCCCTGACTGCACGGAGAAAAGAGGAGCAGGAATTTAAGAAAGTCAGCGCTAAATGGCAGTCAGTATACTAATTTTAAAAAATCATGAATTATACAACAAAAATTCTATTTACTTTCATTTAAAGCTATAATCCCCAATCATGTACCAACAGCTACTGTTACGGTCAATGGTTAAAATAAATAAATAATTTAGTTTTCTTTTCTACACCACTGAAGAATTTTAAAACGCATGTATAAAAATGATTGTTTCTATTTATATGTTCACCCCTAATTTTATGTTTAACCCTGTTATTTACGATTATTCCTGATGACCCATTTCAGTTTTAAAGCTATTTAAGTAAAGTGTTACAGAAAGTATTTTTTCTCCTGCAGGTAGCATATAAAACGAAGCACCCTAGCTTTCAGAGAAAACTATGCAACTATATACAATTTATTGAAGAAAACTTTACAAATAATTTATCTTACATAATCTTAGACTAGAACATTAAAAATGAAACTATACATTTTGTATTACTTTCTTTAATTTTGAAATAATTATTAGGTCTATAATGATTCAGATGATAAAGTTTTTAAATATTGGGGAAAATCTGAGTGTAGGGTTCCTTCACTCTTTTTTCCCCTTCTCAGCGCTGTTCGCATGCAAATGCGGGCTGAAATAGAAAATGAATTCATTCAAAGAAATAGTAAGAATTTTCTATTAAATTTCCGCGGCCAGCGAAAGAAATGCGTACAAACAAGAAATTAAAATACAAGGGCGCGGTAAAACGTTTTAAGAATTTTAATTAAAATTGCGAACGCCCGGTCCAACACGCGTTTTATCAGCGATGGTCAGATCAGCTTTTCATTCCACACTTATTGCGCATACAACTCGTTGCCAGCGCCAACCCCCTATTTTTCTGCTGCTAATCATGTTGTCTTTGTGTCGGCTTCTGACTCTACATCAGCGTTGGGCTGGAGATCCATTTGCTGGCCATTTGGTATGCATTCCGAGTCCCGGAGCTTTAAGTAGTCTTCAGCATCCCAGACTTGCTGGTCAGTAGTGCCCCAAATAAGGTATACCAGGTTTCCGAAGAAAAACACCACAGCGGTCATACCAAACACGATCTGCCACTGGCTACGAGAACCCTGCATAAAAAATAATGAAAATAGCATTAAATTCCTGCTTATATATTATTTTAATGGTAGATAAATGTTTTGCTCTTGTATTTAGCCACACCTCACCAAACCGATATGCCTAGATTTTCAAAAAAGGCACCAAAAATATTAACCTTAGTATTCAAACAAGGAAGGAAGCTAGCTTATATACCCTTGCAGTCATAAAATATTTCGAAAAAAATACATAAAGTCAAAAAAACATCTAAACTATGACGATTTTTCCATTAATTTTCCAGATTTTCGACTTTTGTTCATATGTCAGCTATGTGATATAGTTGTCCAATTTTAACAAAATTTATATAAATTTCCGACTTATATACTGCGTGCAATAACTACACAACTTTTGGAAAAGTTTCAGCAGGATAGCTTCAAAACTTAGAGACTAGTTTACATAGAAACAGACAGACGAACAGACGGACAGGCGTACATTCATATTTTGATTCAGATTGTGATGCTGATCAAGAATATATATATTATATATAAATCGTTAAAAATTGCACATAAAAATTTATACATATTTGTTTATATGTATGAATCTCTATTATATTCTGTTATTATTCCAAAAGTTTCATTTATAATTATGTTCGTTGTATAATGTTTTCAGACGACTCTATTAAAGTAAGACCTTTTTTAGAAATGTTCCGGCGTATATACTATCTGCAAGAACTAGACTTCTTAAAATACCTTTTAAGATACCTTTAAAACTTAGAGATTAGTTTGCATAGAAACAGATAGACGGTCAGAGTGACCACCAATCGACTCGGATTGTAATGCGAACAAGAATATATACACTTTTTTGAATGGAAAGAAGATTTACATCCTCTGCAAGGATGTCGCAAATTAAAATATCAGAGTCAGTTAATAACTTTATAAGTAGTACCCACCGTTTCGGTGACAATGACTCCCACCAATAGAGGAGTCAATAGAGGAAATATGTTGCCAATGCCGTTCACAATAGCCATTAGCATGCCCGAGTGGTTGGGCGACATGTCAATGATGGTCAGGATGCTGCCAATGCCAGAGCCGGCATTTAAGCCCGCGTTGATCGTCATCAGAGCGATGGCCAGGCTGGTTTGGCTCTTGTCCAGAAACCCGATGCCGATAAGGGCCGCCGCAGGACCCCAGTAGGACACGGTATTAATGGACTTGCGCAGCGTGGTTAGGGACATCCACTTGCGCGCCATGGCCACGTCCGCGAAGACTAGGTACACGTAGGACATGCCCCACATGGCCAGGAAGGGCAGGGCCGAGTACAGAGCGTTGCTCTTGATGTCCATCTCCAGGACGTCGTGCATGTAGGAGGGTGTCTGCAACTGCATGGTCGAGTTGGCCCAGCCTTGAGCGCTGCGAACGATCAGCAATGCGTAGAAGGGAGCCGAGGTCCAGATGGCTCGCCACGGGATAGGTATCTTCTTGGCGTGGAAGCCATCCGGCCGCTTCATCGAGCGCTCTATGTGCTCACGCTCGCGCACGCCGATTAGCCGGGAGCTGGGCGCGTTGTTCGCACCGAAAATCAACCAGAGCAGACACCACAGCCCGCAGGTGCCCGCTGACACATAGAAGATTCCCGGCCAGCCCATGGAGCCGTTGGCGATCAGACCACTGCTGGCCATTGCCAGCACTGACCCGCAGTCGGCCCCCGAGTAGGCGAAAGCGCCCAGCCGGTTGCGGTCTTCCGGCGGAGACCACTTGGCCAAGTGCTCGTGGATGCAGGGAAATATCAGGCCCTGGAAGAGACCCTCCACGATGCGGATCGTGCTGAAGGCCTGCCAGCCGCCCCAGGCCACACATAAGGGTGTGAGACCACTCAGAACGGCCGTGGCCAGCGTCGGGATGAGCAGCACCGCCTTGGCCCCAAAGCGACGGACCAGAAAGCCGGCCGGGAACTGGGTGACGATGTAGCCCCAGTAGAAGCTGGACAGGATGTATGACCTCTGCGCACCGCTCCAGTCGTACTCCTGCATTTGTGGGATTGGCGGTCACTTACCGACACAGGCGAATAGCAAGTCGCACTCACCGGAAAGTCTGGATTCGTGGTGGCCGAATCCGTCATGGCCACCACGGCCACGCTCACGCTGAGCCGGGCAGTATAGTTCACGACAATGGCCAGGAAAAGCAGCAGGGCCTGCAGGTGCCGGATGCCAATGAGAGGACCTAGGAGTGCACAGTTAAAGAGGGTTAACGAACAAGTGGAATTTATAAACTAGAAAAGCCTGCATATGGGTGTTATCTATTTAGAGTTCTTTGAAACAAAATTTGAACTCCGTTAATATGTATGTGCTAAAAATGTATTCATTTTTTTTAATGGTCCACCCAATATTCTTTTTAACCCTTTTGCAATTTAAAAGGCTATCGCAGTGCGTTTTGTTAAATAAATAATACTTGTGTCCAAAATCGTCCAAACGCCCTATCTCAAGTTATACACCTTTATATTTTATAACTGCGAGTTATTTCTCCTTTGTTTTGATGGGAGCTATAAGTAAATACGCAAGTGACCATTGCGAACGCCCGTCCATGCAATGAAAAAAGCGCAAAATTGAAAACCTGCTATGATGATTTCGAAGAGAAGTTAACTGTTTGATAAACAATTGATTTTTGCGAACACAAATTATAAATATCCGATGTCCTTTGCATATACACACAGGTGGCGTCCACGGCCTTCCCCATCCCTTGCGGAAACGAACTAAAATAGCCGTGACACATAGTACTATCATGTACTATGTTATCTATGTATGTTATCACACATAGTACTATCATGTACTATGTTTTCTATCTATCATATGAGTCTTGCTGTCCATCTTCCAGTGCCTTCGCTTTCCGGTTTTTCTTGCCAAAGGTCCAAGGGGCTCTCTTTTGCGATCCACGATGACTAGTCTTTTCGCTTCTCCGGCTTCTTAAAGGTCACACAGGCTCTTGAGTTCTCTTGGAGTTACTCCTACAGAATATGCTACCGTGAAATAGGCGCTTAGCAGAGGAAAGAGCGTCCAATAAAACACGTCTTCCTTTGTTGAGTTGATATTTCAAACTGGTTTTATTTAAGAATATCTTCGACTTAAATAGCTAACATGAGACTTACAACTATTCTAATCTTTAGACCTACGAATAGGTATATCCCCGATTCCGGGAAACATGCTAAGGGCGATAGAGGAGATAGCAATTACTCCGATCGCACCTATCACTGAACATGTGGTGACCACTCGCAGGAGGTAATTTTACAACCTTTTTACCTAGTTGTTTTAGGTATGCACACACGTGATACATTTGGTGCGGCTACAATTCCGCTACCTAAATATACATTTGTATATCTGCGTGTTCATGTTTTAACAGCAGCTCTTTCAACATTCAATAAAGGCTCTAGTCTGCATTTGGCTTTCAGTGCTTCAGCCCAAACTTCGAAGTCATATGGCGTTGTTAACATTCACAAATAGATTCCGCCTGGTTGGAATTGGCGCCCGCCGATTGCTAATGCCTGTTCAGTATCCTTGTTATCTTTGTAGCCTTGATTCTGGCGTAATTAGATTGTTGCCCAAAGGTTCTTTATGGAATTCTGTGTCTGTATGACACTCCCGCTGAGATTGAATTCTATCTCCAAGAACATTTGCTTTCTGGTGACTAATATCAGCTTGGCCTTTTCGATATCCAATTCTAATCCATGAGACTACATCCAATCGTTTACGCGAATCAGTACTTGGACGTGGTCGCTTTCGTTGAATATACCCAAGCAGGGGCGGACGCAGAAAAAAATAGTGGGGGGGCCTATAGATCAAATTTTTTTTTAGTTTATATGGTGGACCCGTGTGCAGTAAGGGGTTTAGAAAAAGTCCACGATTTTTCTAGTCTTTTATCTTATGAGCACAATTCTCGTATACAAGCGTTGTGTTTGGTGTGGTGTCTGTTTTAACCATCCGATGAAATGTCAAGGTTGTGCTCACATGAGCCACTGTCAGTCCAGTTCTTACTGACATATTAAGGATCTTTCAGCCTCTTTATTCGTCGAAGACATGGCTCATTCACGCGCTCTGGCATTTAAGTCTCCAGCTAGCTATAGTTGCCGAGCACAGTCGTCGATTTTGGCTTTAACTACTTTCACGGTAACATTGGGAGTTAGATAGCAGCTAATAATACTGTGTTCAACGACTGTTTCTATAACAACTATAAGATATAGTCGTCCGAATCTCTATTCTATGATAAAAACAAGAAAGGAAGCTAGCTTCGGCAAGCCGAAGCTTATATACCCTTGCAGTTACTAAATATGTCGAACAAAATACATAAAAGCTAAAGAACATCGAAGCTATGACGATTTTTCTATTAATTTTCCATATGACAGCTATATGATATGGTCGTCCGATTTTGATGAAATTTAATTTGTAACTCAATACTCATTAGAAAACCCTATATTCCATAAATCATTATTGTCTGATGAAAAACAACGAGGTAATAATTTTATTTCCGTTATTTCTATATAGATTTTTCGATCTTTCCTATGGCAGCTATATGATATAGTACTCCGATTTTTATGAAATTTTTTCTCGATTTAAGAGTATTTCAAAAACTTTATGTTCCAAAAATCATGCTCATGTGGCATTAAAAACAACGACATAATTTTTTTCCATTATTTATATATATATATTTTGATCTCTCCTATGGCAGCTATATGATAGAGTTATCCGATTTTAATAAAATTTAATCCAAAATTCAATAGCAATTAGAAAACGCCATCTGGAAGGAATCAAGTCGATCTGATCAAAAACAACGGAGTAAGAATTTTTTATTTCATTCTCTTGTATAGGAGCTATCCGATATAGTCGGCCGATCCGGCTCGTTCCGACCTATATACTGCGTGCAACATCTACACAACTTTTGGGAAAGTTTCAGCGAGATAGCTTTAAAACTGACAGACTAGTTTACATAGAAACCGACAGGAGGACAGACGGACAGACGGACAGACGTACATACATATTTCGATTCAGATGGTGATGCTGATCAAGAATATATATACTTTATGGGGTCTGAGGTGTCTCCTTCACTGCGTTGCAAACTTCTGACTGAAATTATAATACCCTTTGCTCTGCAAGGGTATAACAACGATGGTATAATTTAGACCCATACTTTTTACGTACATTTGTTGAGCAATTGGCAGCAATTAGATATGTCATCCGATTTAAATGAAAATTAACAACGTTATCATTTTTGCATACTTCTGACTGAAATTATAATACCCTTTGCCAGGGTATACAAAATGTGCAATGGAATCTAACTATAGGTCCAAGCAAAAAGAGGCTCATAAAATTAACAACTCATAACATCAAACATTGTATTTACGGCCTCATACTGCCCATTTGCAATAAAGTTGTTATCTTAATTGCATTACTGGCACTGCGAGAATTTGCTTGGCCAATGTAACTCTTTTGCCAATTTTATCGACCAGTTGCTTTGGGGTCATGATTAAGCTATAAATCATAGCTAAACCTAGTTGATAAAATTAGCCCTGGCCCAAAAGATTTTAATAATCATGCTCTTTTTGAAATTCCAATAGTATTAAACCCATAAAACAATTTATATGTTATTTCTATTGTTTCGAAATGTAGGTTTAATTTTTGTTCGAATCGTATCTGGCACTAGTATTTAATAAACACGAGGCACAATTAAATAAATTATATTTAATTTGTAGCGCACTTAAAATAATTTTTACTGCCAAAACGACCATATTCACACTCAAAAAAGGGAAACACCGAAGTTTCATTGAACTATAACACTTTTTTATCCTTTAAATTTGCGTTTTTCGAAAACTTTTTATTATAAACAAATCACATATTAATATTTAATTAAGCACCGCCAAATTGGTATTTCATTTGAAATGTTGTACTTATAAATCACATATATTTATATGAGTATTATGTGTATTCCAACAGCTCTTTATTCTCCTTTTATTTATTAGCAGTTAAATGCTTTGAAGTTTATTTTCAATTCACCTTTTAGCTTGTCACTCATTCTGTTGTCTTCGCGCACTTGAATGTGTTAACAAATTTCCCTGTAAGGTGGAAGAACGAGAAATAACGTCTCGCCAAGCTGTCAATTTCAGTTTGGCCGGTTAGCCACCAACTTCCACCCGCTCCTATAGCTGAAATACGTCTGAGCGTGTCGCCTAAAGCTCAGCCCTCTATAAAGCTTATATGACTGCAATTAAAAATCAAGATTGGGGCTCCGTTCTTTAATGGGTTTTATCAAAGCAACGATTACCCAAAGCGATAGCTAGATGCTACCTGCCGCATTCCGAGCTTGATATCGTCTACTACCATTATAAACAAACATCGGCAATATAACCCAGACGTTCATACTAGCACTTATAATTTTGTGCCAGTCATTTGAAGGGTTTAATCATTCTTGTACAAAAGTCTTTGCAAGAACCCAACTAGTGGTGGTCAAAATAAAGACTAAAAGTGCATTTAATACTTTTAATGCTTCTATTGTAGATCGTTTCACGTTTTTGATACTTTTTCAAATCAAAATCAAATTGTAAACAAAATGTAGGTTAATTATAAAGTTATCTAAGCCTTTGGCATCATTATGGTTAATTAAATACAATAATCCAATGCTAAAATGAGTTGACTCTCGCAGTAACCTGTTATTAAAATTTAATTCTGAATTTTTTTTATTACTGTAGAAAAAGCGCGAAAACGGCGGCTTCACACAGCAATCACATTAAGTCATAATTTTACCCTTGCAGAGGGTATTATAATTTTAGTCAAAAATTTGCAACGCAATGAAGGAGACACCTTAAACCCCATACAATATATGAATCGAAATACGTCTGTACGTCTGTCCGTCTGTCCGTCTGTTCGTCTGCCCGTCTGTCCATCTGTACGTCTGCCCGTTTGTCCGTCGTCGAAAATATGCAAAATTAATAGAAAAATCGTAATAGCTTCGATTAGCCTTTATGTATTTAGTTCTAAATATTTAATGTCTGCAATAATGTCTTAGTTTCTTTGTTTACAGCTTCTGTTCGGTAAATAATTAAACTTGCGAATCAGTTTTGTACTTAAAAGTTATTTGAACCTAAATTTACAAAATGGTTTGGTTATTATTTACTTTATGCTTTAGTTCTTAGTTCTGCTTTAGAAAAGCCTTTTGATAGTGTTTACAAGATGCTAAGTTTTTTAATTAGTTTACCAGTTGGAGTGACTTGACTACTTACTATAATTTCCGATAACTTTAGGATCTTGCCAAGGTTTTGTACATAACATTACATTCCTCTGAGCACTTGTGCAGAAAATCGTCTGCATCCCAGGGCTGTCTGATGTACCAGAAGATGAACACCCCAGGCCGAACACAATCTGCCACTGGAACGATCCGTCTAGAAAAAGAAACGACGGTTACGGCCACATAGTCCATTCGTGGCGATGGGCATTCGAACGGAGAATGGGAACGGAGAATAGCCGCCCACGGAACTAGAGCGAATCCTTTGGGGCAGGTGCTCTGGGAGCGGAGTGCCGCATCGATGTAGTTCTGCTCAGCGGCACCGATCCAGTAGGAGCTTCGGCAGTCGTTGGCGTGACGGCGCAGAGAATGGCACCGGCGAATGTGCCCAAGAGAAGGGTATTCCGAACCCTCAGACGAGTGACCACAAAGCTGCCAGGAATCTGCATGACCACATAGCCCCAATAAAAGCTGAACAGTAAGTACGACTTCTCAGCTTCCGTCCACGCAAACAACTGCAATTTTAATAAAAGTTATAGAGTTTTTTTAGAGGTTAAAATGTTGATTTTATAACTAACAAGAATGAAATCCTGTTTCCATTAGCCATAGCTTATTTATTACGGAGTTGTAACGATCGCACCTTGGTTTTAATGGCTTGAATTAGAAAAAATCAATTTTAAATTGTTGTAAAACAGCAGTCCAAAACTGCTCTTGCTCCAACAGCTTATCAAAGTCCTAGTAGGAATACCACTTAGGTTTGGAGTATTTACTCGTTCTGATCGGACCCTCAAAGCTAATTTTTAATTC